TGCCTCGACAGGGGCGGCTGACAACGCGACGTCAGGGGGAGTTGCTGTGTTGACTTCGGCCAGGTTTGGCGCGACTGATGTGGTGCACGCGTGCACGTCGGAAAGGATGTGTGCGAGAAGGCTGGTTCTGTCTGAGAGGGCGCAGCTGATGGTGATCTCGGTCTACGGCCACACGCAGATCGGCCTCAAGGGAGATAATATCACGTTTCTGGCGCAGCTCAGTGAACTGGCCTCGTCGTTACCCCTACCTGTGCTCATAGCTGGAGACTGGAACATTGATGCGGAAGCGTTGCGAGAGCCCAGGTGGTGCGAACACCTGGGGGTGACAATAGTTCGGCCGCCTGGGCCAACCTGCCACGACAAATGTCACGACTTCTTTGTGGTCAGCAGGTGCTTGGCTTACCATATTGATGAGGTGCGTGAGTGGCCAGGCACGCCCACGGGGCCGCACTCGTCGGTGCACCTCCGCCTGAAAGGTCTTGCTGGTGCAGCGAAGGTGTGGAAGCGGATCGTCCCGAAGGCTTTCCCCTTGGCGCGGACGGACGAGGAGATGCTGAGGTTCGTCACGCCTGAGGGAGGCCAGACATACGGCTTTGACTTCGACAGGCCCATGGAGGCCGCTGCCCAGTGGTTCGATGCGGCGGAGGCAGAGCTGGTCAAGCTTCATGAGCTGGGACAAGCCAGGGGGTACGCAGGCAGGTCGTCGGGCTGCCAGATTCAGAAGGTTCCTCTGCAGGCGGCCTGGGGTCAGGATCTCAACCAGCGCTGCTCGGTCCTCACGCAGAACTGGCTTGCTGTCAGGAGGCTGGCGATGTTCTACATGCGTCGAGTCAAAGACCGTGACCTGTTGCTGGCCAAGGCTTGCGCCTTTGGCCACTTGCTGCACAGTGCTGAGGTAGAGGAGCTCAGAGGTTTCACGTTTGCATCTCTTTTTAGAAGCCTGCTAGCCTGTGATTAAAAAACGGTGGTTGTGAATTGGCTGCAGGCCGAAGTTTCGAAGCGTGTGTCTCAGGAGGCCGCTGGGGGGCGCCAGAAATGGAAGTCGCGGGCGCAGTCGTCTGTCGTCGGAGGGGGGCGGGTCGCTCACAGGTACTCGAAGGGCCCCTCGGCGCCTCCCCGGCCCGTCTTGGCTGAAGTTGATGAAGGGATGACTGTTCCCCTAGTAGGTGATGCCGCACTGCAGCAAACTTTGCAAGAGTGGTTGCCGATTTGGTGCAACGATAATCGAGCTGGCGAGCCCCCGCCTTGGGACTGGAGGTGTGAAGATAGCTTGCCGCCGATTACCTCTGAGGAGGTCCTTGCGGCTGCCAAGTCGTTTCCCCCAGGCACGAGCCTGGGGTGGGATTCTTTTCACCCCCAGCTCCTTCTTCAGGCCCCCCCCCCCCCCCGCGCTCGTCCAGGCCTTCGCCGATGTGCTCGCGGCCTGGGAACGGGACCCCTCTGCGGGCCCGTCGTGGCTCGTCGCGGTTGTGTTTCTTGCGAAACCGTCAGGGGGGGTCAGGCCTATCGGCCTCCTTCCCCTCTGGGCCCGAGCGTGGAGCAGGATTCGGCATGTCAGATGCGCGGCGTGGGAAAGGGAGCTGGGCGCGCCCTTTTTCTGGGGTCTGAGCACGTCCACTGCATGCGACAAGAGCGCATGGGTTCACAATGCGATGGCTGCATTTGCTCGGGAAGCTCGGGGTTTTAGTTTCGGGTACTTTGTTTCTGGATCTTCGCAAATTCTACGAGCATATCAGCCATGCTGAATTACTTGCGGCAGCTGGGCCGGTGGCCTTTCCGAAGGCACTCTTGAGGGCCTATTGCACGGTTTACCGTTCCCCGAGGCGGGTGTCTTGGCAAGGGGCGATTTCCAGAATCGTCTCGCCGAATGGCACCGTGATTGCTGGCTGTTCGGGGGGCACCTCGCTCGCTCGCCTGTTGCTCGTGTCGGTGCTGCGCAGAGTGGTATCGTCGTGCCCAAACTGTCATCCTGAAAAGTGTCATTGATGATATTTCTTCTCAGTCCATCGGAGGCCAGGCCACAGTGTGCACTGAGCTTTCGTCGGCGTTCAATCTTGTCACCCAGGACCTCCAGGCTAGGGGCCTCCCAATTGCCTGGAACAAGCTTGGGCTCTTGGCGCCGTCCGCCTCCCTGGCCAACCAGCTGGCCTCGAGCTGCCAGCTCCCTGGAGAGGCCAGGTCGTCTGTCCACCGCGACCTTGGAGGGGGCGCGACGGATGGTGCACGGGTGGAATCTTCCGGGCGGGGGTCACCGCCAAGGCTCTCTGGGGGGCCAACATCCATGGGCTGCCTGATGGAAAGCTGAAGAGTTGAAGAGTTGCGGCTGTCAAAGCCGAGGGGAGGCTGCCCAAGGGATCCTCGCTCGGATTGGCTTCGATGTGCACGCGCGGGGGTTGGCCGCGAGATCCCTTGGTGCAGGTCTCAGCTGGCGCGATCAATACGTATGTTCAGATTCTAAAGGATGGCAGGCTGTCAGAGCACGTGCTTTCAGTTTTGTTTGCGAAGGCCCAGGAGGTCGCCCAGAGGCCGAAACCCTGGACACTGGTCAAGGACCCTGTGTCCGCCCTGGTCTTAACCTGCCTGAGGATCGGGTTTGTCTTCCAGGGACCTTTCTCGGTGCAGGAGGCCCAGTGACAGGTTTGGGACCTGACCCAGGTCTCGGCCGCTTTCATGGCCAGGCGTGCGCGTTTTTCGGCGCGGAGGTTTTCGGACCTAGCGGCCTTGGGCAAAATCGGACCAGGCAAGGCCTGGCGCGCAGAACTTTAGTGGCGACCGCTGAACGAGCTGCTGCATAGAAGGATCGACGGGGAGGGCGAGGCTGTCGGGACGGGTGGTCCGTGGGGGGGTCAGAGAGCAGCGTACGCTCCGAGGACTCCTCATGGGTTCTCATTGGTGCCAGCACAGGCTCAGCGAGCATGATCCTGAGCTGGCGTCAGAGCGCCTGGTGTGTGGTGAGCGAGGCACTTTGTTCCATCGCCACTTTCAGTGCCAGGCTAGGTCGGCCTGGCGCCGCGACAATCTCCCCGTGTGTGTGTGTGTGTGTGTGTGTGTGTGCAGCGCGCAGCCAGCAGAGTTTCGACTTGCAGCATCGAGCTGCAAGAGCGTTTTTCCCGAGGAATCCTTCCAGACCCGTGCCAGCTTCTGGCCAGGAAACCCTGGGATCTTTCCACGGAGTTTCGCGTTGACGGAGGCCTTGCTGGGCCGCTTATGCTTTCCGAAGGGCATGTTTTCTGTGGTGGTTCAGGCCTAGATGGACTGTTCCCGTCCATGCGTGTTGCTGGATGGGGAGTCACCGTCTTCGATGAGTCACGCAGGTGTATAGCGGAGTGGTATGGTTCTGTGCCCCCAGCCACCTTGCCTGATCAGGTGGCGCGTGACGGCGAGGACTATAGTGTTTTGTTCGTCTCGAAGCTGTGCGCAGGCGATTTCACTCTGTACTCTGACTGCAAGGGAACGCTAGACTGCTGTAAAAATAGAGCGCGCTCGGTCTCCTCGGCCAGCACCCCAGAGCCCACCTCTGGATTCAGTCTTGGGTTTCGGGAGGCCTTGAGGGGGCGAGGTTTAAGAAGGTTCCCGCTCACGCCTCGGCCATTGATGTCAGAGACGGCCTCTTGTCAGATTTCGAGCGCACTGGTAACCATGGCGCTGATAGGCTGGCCAAGCTGGGAGCCTCGCTTGTCCAGCACGATGAATGTGACACCCTCCTGGCCAAGGGCTGCCTGTTCCTGGCCCGTGAGGTGTTGCAGTTTATAACGCGTGCGGAAGTCTACTACAGTGAGCTGGGGGTCCACGACAATGTAGGTGCCTAGGGCCTGTCTTTGGTTTCCCTGGATCTCCCCATCGGACCACGACGCTCGGCTCGAGTGGGCTCGGGCCGAGGATGAGGCAGCTGCGCCCCCCCCCCCCTCGTGTGGGGGCCCCGACGGCCCCTGACCCTGCGGCTGCCGCCTCGCTGGAGCGATTCCTGGGTAGGGCGTCCGAAGGCACGCAGCCGTGGAAGGCGGGGGGCCACTGCCTGTTGGAGTTTCCTGTAAAGTTTTCGGAGGAGGGTGGGGATCACCCACCCCTCCTCTTTTGCTCCACCTATGGCAGCTACGCAACGACAGTCACAGGTTCCAGGGGCTTGCAGTCTGGATGCCAGGGCTCGGCTCACTCTTTGGTCGGCCCTGGTAAGAAGAACACGTCGAGTTTTTTAAAAGCTCAAGCACCCGAATCGGGCGCGACGGCTGGGACCCCCGAGATCTCCTGGGGCTCTGGCTTGCGAGCTTTTCGGTCCTCGGTTCCAGGTCGGAGGTTTGGGGTCCCAGCCGACGATTGGACTTCGAGAGCCCAGCGGTCTTCGGGAACCGCCAATCTCTGCATGGCGGACTGTCTCCAGGCTTTCGGGCTGAATGAGGTGGAGGCCCGTGAGCTCGGACGAGAGTTCCGTGTCCGACAGGCTGCTGCTGTCGAACTCGACGAAGAGTTTTCCTAAGGGGGCCCTGTCGCTGGCCCACGGTGCGCAGCCTATGCCGAGCCGCACCGTGGTGGCAAAAAGGTCCTCTCCGATGGGCCCCTCTTAGGGTTTTTGGACCCGTCGGATTTTTTTTTTCTCTCTCTCTCTCTCTCTCTCTCTCTCTCTCTCTTTCTCCCCCCTTAGTGGCGTGCAATCCTTCTCCTCCCTCCTCCTCCCTCCTCCCTCCTCCTCCCACCTCCCTCCTCCTCCTCCCTCCTCCCTCCTCCTCCTCCTCCTCCTCCTCCTCCTCCTCCTCCTCCTCCTCCTCCTCCTCCTCCTCCTCCTCCTCCTCCTCCTCCTCCTCCTCCTCCCTCCTCCCTCCTCCTCTCCCCCTCCTCCCTCCTCCCTCCCTCCTCCCTCCTCCCTCCTCCTCCTCCCTCCTCCTCCTCCCCTCCCCCCTCTCTCCTCCTCCTCCTCCTCCTCCTCCTCCTGCTCCTCCTCCCTCCTCCTCCCCCTCCTCCTCCTCCTCCTCCCTCCTCCACGACCGGCGCGCGCGCGCTCCCAGGCGCGAGCGGCTACGGTAGCCGCGCGGGCGGGCGCTCGGCCGCCTCGGGCAGGAGCCGCGCCCCGCCGCCGCCTCCGCCCGCGCGGCGCTCGCGCCCGTGCCTCGGCTTCTCCTCCGCCTCCTCCTCTCCTCCTCCCTCCTCCTCCCTCCTCCTCCTCCTCCTCCTCCTCCTCCTCCTCCTCCTCCTCCTCCTCCTCCTCCTCCTCCTCCTCCTCCCCCTCCTCCCCCCCCTCCTTCGCACCCGCCGGGCCCGCGCGGCGCCAGGGCCAGGCGGGTGCGTCGCGGGCCTGCCGGGACGCCCCCGGAGCCCAGGGGCCCAGACCTGCTCCAAGGGCGAGGGCGGAAAAGAGGGGGGTGATGACTAGGGGGGGGTCCCTCGCGGGGCTCCCACAGGACAGTGCAGCCAATTGTTCGGGCTGGGGCGGTCGGCCTCCTGGGGAGCGGGCCGAGGCCTCCCGGGGGGTCCGGGCTGTGGCAGAGTCGTGGCGCGGGGAGCCCGGGGGCGGAAAAGAGGGGGGTGATGACTAGGGGGGGGTGGATATCATGGCGTGGGCCATGATATTTCCCCAGATTTCATGGCGCCTCTTCTTATTTCATTACGTCCCTGGCCCCCCCGCTGGGCCGCGCACGTGCCGCCAGTCATGATTTGCACCCCCCCTCTTGGACACCCCCCTCTTGGCCGCTCCCGACAAGGGCGCCCTCGATGGCGCGAAGTTCTCCGCGCTTCGCGGTTTGGCTCCTCGTCCTCCTCGTCTTCCTCCCTTTCTCCCCTGGGAGGCGGCGCGAGAGCGCGAGATTCGCTCGCGCGCCTCCGATCGCGCGGCGCTGGCCCGTGCCCTGGCTTCTCGGGTGCGGCGCGGGCCTGATGGGACGTCCCAGGAGCCCAAGAGTCGGGGCTCAGGGGACGGGGTTTAATGCAAACGGGGGTCAGCCAGGGCACCGGATCCTGCAGGATCCTGCGAAGACCCCCTCTGGCCGACCCGGGTCAGCGAGCCGCTCGTGGCCGCGAGGCGGCCGCGCACATTGGCTGACCCGGGCTGGCCGGGACGTCCCATCAAGCAGTGGCGGAGCGTCTGGGCTCGCCTATAGCCCTACCAAACAATGTTCTAAAGACCTTTTGTGGTTCCCACGAAATGTTCTTAGAACATTTCTGGTTGGAGTCTGTCTTGTTTTATCACATCTGCTTTATGTTCTAAGAGTATTGCTTCTGATATTAGAGCATATTTGGGTTCTAAGAACATTTCGTGGTAGGACTATAGGAATGCCGGGACGGTCGGTCCCAGGAGCCCAAGAGTCGGGGCTCAGGAGACGGGGGTTAATGCAAACGGGGGTCAGCCAGGGCACCGGATCTTGCAGGATCCTGCGAAGACCCCCTCTGGCCGACCCGGGTCAGCGAGACGCTCGTGGCCGCGAGGCGGCCGCGCATATTGGCTGACCCGGGTTTGCGAAGCCCTGCTTTGCAGTTTTGTTTTCCAGCATTTCAGTTTTTTGGTTTTCTGCTGACCGGGGTCTGGATTGACCCGGGTCAGAAGATCCCCGAAAGAGCCCAGATTTTTCCGCGTTGCGACAAAATCACGACGGGAGGTTTCTCGTTGTTTTTAAGTCGGGCCTGTCCCTCTTCAGGGGGAAAGCTCAGACATAATGCAACCATCATATGGCGACGATGTTTTGAATTTTAACCGAATGCCGAGGATAATAAAGTACCCCCCCTTCAGTCGTTAGAGTTTTTATCGTCGGCCTAGAAGGGTTTCAAATATAGGCGGAGGGCGCGGAGGCCGAACTTCATTATGACTGGGAAAGTTCGCCATCGAGGTTACTTCCTTCTTATGTTGAGATAACAACATAAGAAGGAAGTAACCTCGATGGTTCTCCTCCTCCTCCTCCTGCTCCTCCTCCCTCCTCCTGCTCCTGCTCCTTATGGTTTTCCTCCTCCTGCTCCTCCTCCCTCCTCCTCCCTCCTCCTCCCTCCTCCCTCTTCCTTCCTCTCTCTCTCTCTCTTTCTCTCTTGTTATTTGTGTTGCTTTCTGTTTTTCCCTCTCTCTCTGTCTCTCTCCCTCTCTCTCTGTCTTTCTTTCTCCTCCTCCCTCTGGCGCCCTGAACTTGTTTATCGCTGAACTTGTTTGTCGCTGGGGTTGATTATCCTGGGAAAACTAAGCACATGAGCTACCCTACACGAGCAGATGAACATTGTAATATCCATTAAGCGTTTACACATTACATATAATACGTTTTCAACTTTGGATTTTTGCTTCTACCTCCTGCTCTGCTTCTCCTGCTCTCCCTCCTTCTCATCCTTCTACTCTTCCTTTTCTTCTTTGTATTTCTCGTTATATTCTTTTTCTTCTCGTCTCCCTGCCCCCCTGAACTTGTTTGTCGCTGGGGTTGATTATCCTGGGAAAGCTAAGCACGTGGGCTACCCCTACACGAGCAGATGAACATTTTAATTTCCACTAAGCGCTTACACATCAAATCTAACAAGTTTTGAACGTTGGATGTTTGCTTCCTCGTTCTTCTCTCCTCCTCTTGCTCTTTCTCCTCCTTCTCATCCTCTTCCTCCTCTTCCTCCTCTACCTCCTCTTCCTCTTCTTATCTGTTTGTTGTCTTTTTCTTCTCGTCTCCCTGCCTCCCTGAACTTGTTTATCGCTGGAGTTGATTAGCCTGGGAAAACTATGCACACGAGCTATCATTAAGCGTTTACAAATTTAAATGTAAGAAGTTTTGAACTTTGGACTTATGTTGTTTTCTCCTTGTTCTCTCCTCCTCTTGCTCTTTCTCCTCTTCCTCATCCTCTTCCTCCTCTTCCTCCTCTGCCTCCCCTTCCTCTTCTTCTCTTTCTATATTTCTATGTAACTCTCTGTATTTCTTCTCCTTCCCCCTCTTTCTCAAGAGAAACAAGCAATTCGTTGAGGATGTCTCAACCGAGACAAATGATTGTTGAGGATGTCTCATAGAGGACCAAAGACCAAGGATCCTCAAGATATCTTTGGCTTTTTCCTCTTGATATCTCTTTATGCTGGCCCTGGCGGGCAACTTTTATTATCTCCCCGAAAACCCCGAACTTTATTATCCCTGTGTGTTTATTATCCGCGGCATTCGGTTAGTCGAGCATGTTGGGAGCATTTGTCTTGTTTTTTTATGCTTGTAAATTTTCGTCCAAAATCCGCCTGTAGGAGGACATGCCCGACCCAAAGCTATCAATGGCCTCCGGGGGCCCTTCCTGGGCCTTGTGACAGCCAAAACAACGACTCAGGACGAACAACCGGTCCCGGGGAGGGGGTCCAGACCTCTGGGGGTCGGCGTTGTGACAAACATCACGACGTCGGGGGTCTGGGAACCGCTTTTGGAGACCCCATGGATCAGAGGAGGAAAAGTTTGGGGCCCCTGGCCCAGTGTTCCCCTTCAGCTCTTGGCTCCACGCTGGAGCTCCCTTGGCCCTCTGGGCCTCTTGATGGGGTGCCCTGGATCGAGCGGCGGCGAAGCGTCCTGACTCGCCTGTAGGCCCACCAACAAATGTCCTAAGAACCTCGTGTAGTCTGCACGACATGTTCTAATAGCATTTCTGGTTGGGGCCGTCTTGTTTTGACACAGCGGGCCTATGCTCTAAGCACATGGCTTCTGTTCTTGGTAAACTGTTGGGCTCTAGTGGCAGGTCGTGGTAGGCCTACAGGAATACCAGGACGGCTGGCCCCTGCTCAACTGGAGGCCGCCTAGGCCACCCAGAGGATCCAGGAGGAGGAGGAGGAGGAGAAGGAGGAGGAGGAGGAGGAGGACGACGACGAGGACGAGGAGGAGGAGGAGGAGGAGGAGGAGGGGCACCTTGGGCCAGGTGCACTTCTGGCAGCACCCGAGGGGCACCGGCACCGCTGGGAGAGCCTCGTCGCCACGGCTGGGTTCTCCTTGAGATGTTCCTCCTCCTCCTCTCCTCCTCCTCCTCCTCCTCCTCCCTCCTCCTCCTCCTCCTCCTCCTCCTCCTCTCCCCCCCCACTCTCCCTCCTCTCGCTCCTCCTCCTCCTCCTTCCTCATTCTCCTCCTTCTGCTCCTCCTCCCCTCTTATTCCTCCCTCCTCCTCCTCATCCTTTTCCTCCTCCCCCTCTTATTCCTCCTCCTTCTCCCCCTCCCCCTCCCCCTCCTCTGCCTCACTCGAAGGCACCCCAGGAGAGGTCCGGGAGGTAGCGGCGTTGGTGCCTGCTCGCCCCCCCTTTTAAGCGAAGACCCGAGACGCCTCAGGTGAGTTGGTGGAGGAGCAGAATGACGGGGCGATGAGAGTCAGGCGATCGCGAACATGGATCAAGGGGGCGTGGATTAGCGACGGGTCCCATTTCCATGGTGTTCGATCGCCGCCCGCGCAATCCCGACTCGAATCGGATGCCCGGGTGCCGCTTGGCTGGGCACGCCGGGGCGGGCAAGGCGTTTCGCGTGTTTCTGTTTTTTAGTACCATTATCCAGCCTATTTTTCTTCCGCGATTACTCCTCGGGCCCATGGCGGCCCCAGAGGCCCCCCCCCAAGACCGCCCAAGACGGCCCCGAGAGGTCCCCGCGAGACGGCGCCCGAGTCGACATCTGGTGCCTTCTGCCCAAATGCGACCCTCCGAACCGCCAGCAGGCTTCCAAGAAGTCCGCCCAGAAGCCCGCGCAGGCTCCCAAGAGGCGTCAATCAGGCCCCACCAGGTGGTTCTCCTCTCCTCCATCTCCCCACGCCCCAGCTGCCCTTCCGTTTGCCATCCTCCTGGGGGCCACGGCCGCGGGCGATCCACCTCCCCAGAGCTGCGGCCCAGGAGCGCGGCGCCCTCGGGCTCCGCGTGCGAGTCCATCAGGCCTCGCGGGGGGGTGCGGGGCGGGTCGGTGGGGCAGTTGGGCCCGCCGCCTGCCCGCCCTGCTTCGAAAGGCCGCCGCCTGCCCGCTCGGCTTCGAAAGGCCGCCCGCGGAACCCCCGCCCGGATGCGGCCCGCAGGGACAAGGTCCCCCCCCTTTTTCGATTCTCTGTTCTCCGCTCCCTCGTCCACCCCCCTTGGTCAGTCCGCCCCTTCCGCCCCCCCGCCCCCTCCGGCTCCCCGCCCCCCCCCCCCCCCATCTTCTCTGGCCTTCGGTTAAGTCGGGCCTGTCATTCAACGGGGGCAATTTTCAAGAATAGTTGAAAAATAGTATGGGATTTATTTTTGACTATTTCCGAGCATTCGGGACATCTTATTGCGAAGGCCAAACGGCCGGTGCCGCCGACCCTGAAGACGACGAAGATGAAAACGAGCGGGGGGGGTAGGAGGAGGAGGAGGAGGAGGAGGAGGAGGAGGAGGAGGAGGAGGAGGAGGAGGAGGAGGAGTGGGGGGGGTAAGAGGAACGGTGGAAAAGGCGGATGAGGGAGGAGGAGGGGATGGAAGGATGAGGAGGAGTAGCAGGAGAAGGAGGAGGAGAGGAGGAGGAGGAGGAGGAGGAGGAAGGAGGAGGAGGAGGAGGAGGAGGAGGAGGAGGTGCAGGAGCAGGAGCAGGAGCAGGAGCAGCGAGAGGAAGCGAGTAGGAGCAACCAATTCTGGAGGCCTCGGCTCTCGACGGAAATGGGAGGGAGAGGGCGGGGACAAAACCTTTCCGAAAATCAATGAGTATGGCCTCTCCGGGCCTTCTTGAGAGCCCTTGTAGGGCTCTTTTGACCCGTCTGAGGGCCCCCTTTGGCCGTCCTTAGGCGTTCTTGGGCTGTCTTGTGGGGCTTGGGCCGTCTTGGGGCGCTCTTGCAGATCCGTCGTGGCGACCCCCCCCCCCCCTCCTCCAGCGCATCTACAGAGGGCCCTTCTGTAAAAGCCGCAAACGGGATGCGCATCTGGGTGGCGACCCCCCCCCGGACCCCCCCCCCCGGGACCCCCCCCCCCGGGACCCCCCCCCGGGACCCCCCCCGGGATTTCCCCCCCCCCCCCCCCCCCGGGGCGGGGAAGGGATCAGAGGGAAGGGGGTTTCCCATCGACGCATTTACGACGTTGCTCATTTTCATTTTGGTTGGCGCGCGTGAGGAAGAAGGGGAGGGCTCAGGGAAAGGGCGGGTAGCGCCACACGCCGACAGGGTCGGCGGATTCAATATGTTTAATTTTCCTGCCAAAATCCTCCTGTAGGGGGACACACCCGACCTAAGCCTTCTGTCCCCCCCCACCACTTCACAATCTGCCCCGTTTTGTTCCCCTGGGCTGGGCCAGGATCGGGATGGGGCCGCTGATTCGCCTGGATCGGGAGCGCGCCGCCCCCGAGTTCGAGGCGGAGCGGCGCCCGTGTGGCCCACGCGCCCCGCTCGGCATTTGGCGCGGCGCACCCGTTTGATGCAGGGCCGCGGGCGCGTGCGCACGCACCTCTCCGCCTCTGCAAGCGGATCGGGACGATAGAAATGGGCACGGAAAGAATGAGTACAGACACCGACAGCAGTTCCTGCTCGTTCTGGACAGGACTCGCTGTCGGTGCTGCCGCGGCCTGTGTCCATTTGCGACAGAAGGCCGCCCGCCCACGCAGCGGCCGCTGCTGGTTTGGTACAACATGTGTGGTTGGGCAGTGAACAATTTTTTCCAGGAGGGGAACAAAAAACACACAGACACAATGAATCGCCGATCCCCGAGAAAACATGGGAACATAGGGGAAGTGGGGGGGGGGGGAGACGCAAGCCCAGAACATATGGGAAAAAATACGGGGAATATTTTTTTATTTATGTGTAGTTATCTGTGTGTCCCGGGCGTCCGAGGCGGCAGCGTCGGAAGGGGGGGTTGTTTCGTCCAGGCGTGATATGGGAGCGGCTGGGGCGAGCTGCGCCGACGGAGGCCGCCTCCGCGCGCAGGCTGCCCCCGCGCAGGGTCGCGCGGCATCTGGGCGCCTTTTTATTCCCTTGGCATCGCTCGGACGTGTGCATTCGTCCTTCGGCGAGGACCAGCGAGGAGCATCCTTGATGATTTGGCGGCAAGGCCACGCACGACACCGACGAACAAAACACCGGGAATGGACGTCCGAGCGATGGCGAGTCCCGCGCAGGGTCGCGCGGCATAGGCGCCTTTTGGTTCCGCGTGGTCTGCCACGCGCCCCACGCCGGCGGCCGCGTGATCCGAGGCGTAAGGGCGCTATGGCCACGTCGCGAATCATTTGTGTGTTTTGTTCGCGTGGCGCCGGGTGTTTGCTGCGGGGGGCGCCTCGTGGCATCGAGTCGGGCGTGTCGCTCCACAGGAGGAATATTCACATTTTGTTCTGACTACATGTGAATGCTGGTTTGGACTTTTTTGGTCTTCGTCCAAAATTCGCCTGTATGGGGGACATGCACGACCCAATCGTAGCATCATGGCGCGCGTGCTGGGTTTAGTGCGGCCCGTGCTCTCACGATTGGACAGCACGGGGTGTGACGTCGAGAGCAGGAGCAGGAGTAAGACGCCGCACGCCTGGAGTTGGCCACGTCCTTCTCGCCCCACTCCGCCGCCGATGTTCAAGCGCGTGCCGGCAAGCGGGGCGCGCATGTCGTGGCCGGCCTGATCCAGAACAGTGCCCGGCCTTTCTCAGCCATGCAGGCTGGTCTTCTGAATGTGCATCCATCGAGTCGGGGATCCACTGCAGAATGGATTTGCCCCACACTTGGTTCGATCGTCGAATCTGCAAACCGATAGGTGTAACGTTCGTTCATCTACATCTGTTTCAGATACTGTTGTTTCGTGGATGTTGTAATGTAGTATGTAGAAAGAGAATGGTTGCATAATGTTTCACATAACTGTTACGTATAATGTTTGCAATGCCCGTACCCAATACGTAATATTCGTACGTAGAGTTGTTTCGGGGGTGGACAGAACCCCCAACAGTGACACGTCGATTAGTGAATTGTCCGGTTTCGGCTCGAGAGGGCGCCGCGGCCGTTATCCTCCAGGCTTGCGCCCGCCAGGTTTGGGCCTCAGTTCGTGTTCACTAAACCACGTTTTGCTAAAGGGGGGTCTGTCCATCCCCGAAATGTCCGTACGAATTCGAGTTGTTGTTTTTTTCGAGATTCCACGAACGAAACAGTTTGGGAAGCTATGGGAAAACATGGGAAGTGGGGGGGGAGACAAAAACCCAGAACATATTGGAAAATATGGGGACTATCTTTATCTGTGTGTCTTTATTTGTGTGTCCCAGGGCCCCTTCATTCTCTCGAGACTCCTCGAACGAAATAGCTTGGGGGCAACTCCGTCCTGTGGTCGATCCTCGGGCCGACTCCAGCGCGCGGCCTCCAGGCAGCTCCACGGTGGGGACCCAGCCTTCTTTGAGTTCTTGCGGCGCCCTCTCGTGCACGGACCCCGTGCTCCCTACCTCGGCATCGTTTTCGTCCGACCCCTTTTCCCCATCTTACAGTCGGGGCGTTGACCTAAGGAGCCCTAAATAAGGAACGAGGTCTTTTTTTCCCATAAGTTGAACTTCGATTTCCCATGGAAAACCTCAGGAAAACCTTAGGCAAATAGTTCAACAATCAAGGAACACCGAGCCCCTCCCCAACGAGAAGGGTTCCTTCTTCAGCGCCCCGACTGTACGTTGCATCTCTGGGGGACCTCGCCTTTCCCAAAAAAATGTGTCTTTTCTTGCGCCCGACGCATGCTCGATGCGGATTCGACGCGGATTTGGTGTGGATTTGCCGCGGATTCGACACGGATTCGACACGGATCCGACGAGCTTGACATGGATTCGACACGGATTCGACGCGGATAGGGCCGCGCCGGGACAGACACGGTCCCCCGAAGATGCAACATAACCCATCCCCATCACCTTCGAGACCCACACCAAATCACCCCCCCCAGTTGGGGATGCACCCCTCGAGACCCGAAAGAGAGCGACCCATATCCCCATTTAGGGGGGCAGATCGGCCAGTGGGGCCCAGGCCACGCCGTTGGGGATGGGGATCGGTTAAGCGATACTCACTGCACCTGAAATTCTAGGCCTCCCAGGTGGGGTCGGAGCAGATGGGGTCGGAGCGTTGCCGATGCATCGGCGATGCGGCTGGTTGTGGCGCCCGATTGGATTCACGTCGACGTCGCCGATGGGTCGCCCACGTCGCCGATGCCTCGCCAGTGCATCGGCGATGCGGCCCGATCCGCCGACCCCATCTACTCTGACACCATCTGGGAGCCTTCTGGGAGGTCACAATGCGGCTCCTCTCTTCGGGAGACTCGAGATGGGTACGGAGCATATGGGGACGAAGGTGGTCCCTGGCCATTTTGAACAGGGCTCGCTGTCGGTGTCGCCGTCGACGTTGTCCACCTGTAAAGGTGAGAAGGAGCAACGTCGAGTACAGTAGAGGATGTGGTGGTACGGTATGGTTGAGCAGGTTCGAGCAGACTAGGGCAGGGTAGAGTAGAGTAGAGAAAGAGTGGAGTAGAGTCGAGTCAGAGCAAAGGTGGAGTACAATATGTTAGTGTACGGTAGGGTAAACCAGACCAGGGTCGAGTAGAGCATGCCAGAGTAGAGTAGCGTAGAGGAATGTCGAGTAGAGTAGACTAAAGTAGAGTAGCGTATAGTACAGGAAAGCCTTCGTAGGATACTGATAGAGCTAGGCCGATCCCTAGTAGCATTCTATCAGAGCCGTAGCCTGACGCGGGCGTTGGCGACAGGTGCGCCGAAGCTAAGGTCGTCGGCGGCGTCGGCGTCGGCGTCGGCGTTTGCGTCGGCGTCGGCATCGGCGTCATTGTCGTCGACACCGTCGTCGTCGCGGTCGTCGTCGCGGCCGTCGTCGTCGTCGTCGTCGTCGTCGTCGACGTCGCTGACGTCATCGACGTCGTCGTCGTCGTTTTCGCCGTCGTCGTCGTCGCGCGGGATTTTGAGGTTGCAAGGCTGCATGGCTTCGATTGGCTGTCTGATGCTTTCGTTTTCGCTCGGACGTGCCCCTTGTGAGGAGGGCTGAGTCCTTGCTTTGCGCCCTTGGGCGAGGGGGCTCCTGGCCCCAAATTGTCAGAAGCGTCAGAAGCGTCGTCGCCGTCGTTGTCGTCATCAAGGGGAGGGGTGTCCACACCCCCCGACGATTTTCCGGGGGGGGCGGGATTCCGAATTCACTTTGAATTTTTGGGAGTGGTGGGGGGGTCCAGACCCCCTCGCACGAATTTCCCCGCGGGGGGGGGGGGCCTCCAACGCCTCCCCACGGGATCCCTCCGATTCTTTGTTGGGCGGGGACGGGGAGTCCGGATCCTTTGTGTCCCTCTTGGGCGGAGGGGGGGGGAGGATGGGGCCCTTTTAATTTCTGACACCCCCTCAGTGAACATTTTCACCCCAGCGTTTGTGGACCGAACTGCTTCAATACAATTTTTTCGAAAGTAAAAAAGAAGCTTGAGTTAATCATCCAAAAAGTCATATGACGTCCGCCCCTGGATCAGAGGGCCCATTTGACTTCGCACGGAACCCATAATAATTCAATCGGAAGGTGGGCAAACAATTTGGTTTCAGAGGGTTGAAACTGGATTTGGGTTTGGAGCCACCAGCGTTTGGATGGGGATCGGCTATGTTCCATATTCAGAGGATTCTCATTAGCTTGGAATGGAAATACGATCGGAATTCACTAGGCATAGTGAGAGGCCCCAGGTTCATGCTAGTTCAGCTTTATTTGGATATGCGTATTGGATTGACGATAGACATGCATTCGGATATGCGGTTTCGATCGGCATGCATGAGGATACGAGCGTCTGAGAAATACGACCAATTTTGAATGGGAATTCGTTGCGCCTTCAATGGGGAAGCTTCAAAACACGAATGAGCAAGACAAACTCTCGAAAAAGGAATCTGCAGTATTGCAAGAGTGCACATCGTTAGTGTACCAGCTGTTGCCTTCTGGGGGGGGGGGGGAACAGGACGTGGGGAGGGGCGTGTGTGTGGGGGGGCTGGGCAGGGGGGTGGGGCCGCCGTCAGCAAGGTGGGGGGGCAGGGAGGGAGGAAGGAGGGCCGGAAAAAAAGGGGGAGGACAGCCGAAGGGGGCAGCGCCGGGGGAACAGAGGATAGGGATGGGCAGGGACAGCTCTGGTGGAAGGCCAGGCTCGCGATTGTCAGGCACTTATGGCGGCGTTTTGAGGGTAGTTCGCTTCTTTGTCCATGGATGCTTTGCGCTGCATCATCCTGGGTTTCTCCGGGGACATCGGGTAGCTACGCAGCGGCAATCAGCGGTAGGAAACGGAGATCATTCGCCAGAATGGGGTCGACGGCGAAGTGCAAGGTAGTTGCGGCCGAGAGCCAATTCTTTGCCGACAGGGAGCGTTTTCCGCGATGCTGTTCGCGGTGCTGTGCTGCATTTGCGCATGCACCCCAGAGGCGTGGGATTGCCACAAGTCGGCCTGCCTTCCAGCGATGGCTGCCTGGAAGTGGAAGAGGAACAGCGGGATGATGATATGTTGCAAAAGGATGAGCCTTCCACATTTTGCGTGTCTCAGGGAAGAGATTGAGAAGACCGTGAAGGATCAGGCCACCTCTTGTGCCATCCGCTTTCTAGGGTGTGTGCGCTACCCATATGAGTCTCGACGGCGCGTCAGTTTCAGCTACGCCCGTCTTTCGCGTCCACAGTTTTATGATACGGCAAATTGTTTGAGTTTGGGTCGACCTCTCGAGTCGAGCACGCTGTGGAAGGGCATGCATTTTGCAGGATGAGGGTGAGGACGAGGATGCACCTCAGCCGTGACACTCTCCTCCCTGGTTTTCCTGGCTATCGCGGTCACGGGACAATGGCCAAGTTTTCTTTGTATGTGTTGTTCGTCGTTGTTTGTTGCAGCATCGTGGTTCTCTACAATCGGCCCGTGGCCATTGTCACTCTCTAGAATAGTTTGCGCGCACGGCTCCACATGTGACGAACCAGTTGTTGATTGCTAGTCCCTCCAGCCTCCCCATTCTCGGACTCTTCACGACTGTTGCAGTTACATCGCGTCAGCAGGATGGCACCCATCATCTCATCAGTATGGTGCCTGTCACACGAGGCTTCCGCCGTTCCGCCGACCCCCAACAGGAAGGGTAGACAGAACGAGCAATTCTTAGAGGTATGCTGGAGGAGCCTCCTGAGCATGTGTGGAGGCATCGGGGGGCCGTTTGGTGCCTCTTGGGGTCCTCTCGGGGGGCTCTCTTGGAGGGCTCTTGGGGCCCTGTGGGGGCGGCTGGAGAGGCCCGCGAGGGGCTGTGGGGCAATTTTTTTGGGGGGATCTGCTCGAAGGGTCCGTTCGGATCGCCTCTGCTGGGCCCCCTCTTGGGGCTCTCCTGGGCCGCCTCGGGGCCCCCCTGGGGCCAGCCTGGGGCCTCTCCTGGGGGGGGGATCCAGGGCCGTCTTGGGCGCTCGGTCGCAGAGGGCGAACAGGCCGAACGCGTGAACTTCAACACAGAAACACACACACAACGAATCGTCGATCCCCAAGAAGATACGTGAAACTGGGGGAAGTGGGGGGGCAGACGAGAATCCAGAAGACACGATAAGGTATGGGGCTGTTCCCTCCGCATCCCCCCTCGTCCCTCATGCTTTCAGTCGGGCCTGTGTCCTCCACAGGAGGAGCATTCAAGCAACAGTTTGGGGATGTTTTTTTGAGTTTTTCTGACCCGTTGGGTGTACCGCTTGACTATCTTTAATTTGTCCCAAATCCCCTGTAGGAGGACAGGCCCGATTCAACACCAGCTGTTTCCCTCTTTCCCTGTTTCACTCTGTCTGCGATTTTCTCACGTTTTTTCTCTCTCTCTATTTCTCTCTTTGTTTTGCTACCTCTATGTGTCTCTCCTTCTCTTTCTTTCTCTCTCTCTATCGCTCTCTCTCTCTCTCTATCGCTCTCTCTCTCTCTATCGCTCTCTCTCTCTCTCTCTCTCTCGCTCTATTTCCATTCATCCATAGCTGCAGACTGCAGCTTCAGGCACTGTATGAATACGCTGTATATAGTGTCTACACATGGGAGAGCGCGCTCTGTGGACCCTGAGAAGGGGGGGTGACCTCGACCTCCTCCTCCTCCTCCGGGCCTGAGCCCGCGGGCCCAAGTTGATTGTCAGGGGCTGCGGCACGATCCTACCATCGCCGTGCTTTCTCACAAGAAATCGGGGGGACCAATGCTATCTCTCGCTCGGGCATGACGCGCGCCTCGTCTCGACCCTATGCCAACGCCGCGCAGGTTGTCAGCTACAACCCGATGTCGGTGCTCAGTTGTGGGCGCCTCGACGACATCTTTCAAGAGTTCAGGCACAAGGCCGTGATCGGTTTGCAGGGTACAAGGTTGCCAGGACACGATTTTCCTCTTGAGCAGCGGGGCATTGGAAATCACATCTTTATCTCAGCAGGATATGGGCGCAGATCGAACAAGCATGCGGGTGTGGCAGTTGCATTACATCGTTCACTCTTTCGGGCAACCTCGATCAAGGACATCAAGGCGCCGAAGGACCCCAGCTTGCAAGGTCGTGGCATTTGTGTACGCACCAAGACGGCAAGTCATGACGTTGCTTGGATATCACTGTACTTCCCGCCCGAGAATATTGGCAATCACAAGATCAAGTCACCTTTCCAGAAGTTACTCTCTTGGGTATCGCAGGTGTTGGTGGGGCTCCCCGCTCGCACGTTACCAGTATTGATGATGGACGGCAATGGCAGAGTTGGAACGTTAGCTGGGCCACAGGGAATTCCTTGCCCTGATGACTGTTTCGCAGTGGGCCCACACTTTCGGGAGCCCACGAATATCAACGGCAGCTGCTTGAGACAATTCTGGATTGATTTTCAAATATGTGCTACTAACACCTTCTTTCCTCACGGCGCGGGCCCCACTCATTAGGACTTGGGCACGAAGTCTCAGCATCGTATCGACTAAATTTGTGTGCCACATGGTTATCTTACTTCAGGTGCTATCCACTCGGCTTTTGTACTGGATCGAGCAGGTGACAGACTCCAACTCATTCAGAGTCTGCGACGGGCTGATCACCGACCTGTTCAAATCAACATCGACATTCAATTACAGTATGATGGCAGAGACGATACTTTTCGATGGAATAGAGAACTGCTGATGCAGGAGATGATGCACGGCGCTTTCAGGGATCTGATATACGACGACCTGTCAAAATGGTATCAGGATACAGCAGAGCAGTGGCAGAACTTCATGGACAATGGCTCCTTGACCGAAGCTTGGCAGTTTCTCATTGATGGTTTACAGCAGAGCGCTCAGAAGTTTTTCGAGAATACTCCAGATTTTGCATTCAGAGACAAATCTAGAGAGAAGGTTCAGCTTCTCAAAGAACGTAGATACTTACGGCAAGCAGTGGGTCGGACATGGACACATGACGGACTTGGACCTGTTAGATGGATTTTTAGACTTCTGGATACTGGCACAATTCAGCACCCAATGCGAGACCTTCTACAAGGATGGCGAGTGGCAGTCCTACTTCTTCGTTCCAGTCGTAGAGTTACCACACATATTAAGACGGCGCAGGCAGATCGGCAATTGATTAGTATTGAAGCTTGTACTTTGGCGTGGAATGAAAAACGACATGCAGGGGCACATCAGCTGGCTCGACAGATCACTGGTAAGCGACTTGGACCAAAGCGACGACGGCGTGGACGGCCAATTACTCTGAGACGTACAAGCTCAGAGGCCGAAGCTCGTTACTCGAAGCCGGGTGCTCAGAAGGGATGGGGGGCGCGCAGGATCACCGACGCGATGTTGTTTATAAGGGCTCAGCTTGCACGGAAGCCACCTACGGGCGCACTTCGACAAGAAGCTGAACGTGATCTACTTCGTACGATTCGAGCACTGGGCAAATCAAAGAATCGACGGGCAGCTCCTGATTGGGATTTACCATTTGAGATATGGCGCATTGTTCTCTCTCTTCCGTGTGGTGCTATCGCACGCCACGGCGTTGGCATGATAACTCTTACTGAGCAGCTGCAGTGTATTTATGAAAGAATGCTAGATTTTCATCAGAAGGCTCGTTCGAACGATCGGGCTCCTCAGCAGTGGCACCGTGACAAATGTTTTGGTATTCCCAAGGATTTAGACGACACTCGATGGGTACATGTATATGGTGCTTACAGCAACGCTTTTTAGCGTGGACTGTTCAAAAATCAGCCAGGCGACATTATATACCCTCGCGCGTATCACATACCAGGACGACGATGCGAAGGAGCAATAGCAGTGACGACGGTCATGATGGACAGATTGAGGACGGCAAAAAAGTTTCATCTCGCTCTCAACTTCGATGCGGTCAATGCCTTCAATTGCGCGAAGCAGGACAGCATCGCGTTCCCGACCAACTCCGAGAGCGACGCCAACCTCTTCGATGACAGAATTGGCAATTGTGTCACTGAGTACGACGCGATCGGCGGCAGGGTCAACTTTCATCATGGTGATGGAGTCACGCAAGGCAGTTCACTGGGTACAGGTTTATTTGGGAAGGCATACGGATCGGCTATTGGTGACTGGCGTGAGGACACGCGCGATCCACGGTTACAGGCACCATCAGTTATTCGAGACACTATGGTTGATTGCTCTATCTTTATATTCGTGGACGACGTCAGACGCCTTCTATGCGTGGATGGGTTTGCTCAGATGCGGGACGCAGCTTCGAGGTGCATCGACTCGCTCTCAGACCACCTCTTGCAGATCGGATGTGCGCAAAACGAGACCAAGCTGTATGCCACCGCTTACTTTATGGGTAAGAATTCAGGCACTATACAGCGTCGTACGTATGCGGATCCATGGCTGCCAGGACGTGTTCTACGCGAAGCTCGACGCCTTGGCCCCATGGTACACTATCGAGGTTCCACTGGTGTCGAACTTAACAGACGTACCCAAGCATGCAGAAGGAACTGGCACATGTTTCATAAGTTTTGGTTCAGCAGTGTGGGCAGAGACTTCAAGATCGTGCTGTTTCGCATGATGTGTGTCGTGCTTGATGTCAGGGGTATTGGGACTCCCCTTCAGCAAAGACGACGAGGCCAGGCTTGATAAGACTCAGGCGTGGTACTGCAGGAAGTTGATGCATGGCGCGGCCACGCAGACTACTTACCTCCCCGACGGCACCGAGCGGAAGTACCGTATACATGCGGATCGAGTTCTAAGGTCACTCCGACTTGCACCGGTCTCGTTGGAACTTCGAATTCAAGGACTCAGGTGGCGCCAGAACATGTTCAGGGCCCCAGCAAATTATCCCGGCGAAGGACCCAAACATATGCAATTGTGAGTACCGCAATTGTGAATATCTTCTTCGGTGGAGCCCCCTATTGGGCCACGAAGCGTGCGAGGGGTGTGCCGAAATGGGTGTGCGGGGCTCATGCGGGCACACCCATTGGGGCCTTCGGTGGGGCTCCCTATGGGGCCACAAAACGCGCGAGGGGTCGCGAAACGCGTGAGGGGTGTGCCGAAATGAGTGTGCGGGGCGCATGCGGGCACACCCACTGGGGCCTTCGGCGGAGCTCCCTCTGGGGCCACGCAACGTGTGAAGGGTATGCCGAAATGTGT